TCGAACTCCTGAGCTCAAACAATCCGCCCGCCTCGGCCTCCCAGAGTGCTAGGATTACAGGCGTGAGCCACCGCGCCCGGCCATGAATTCCAATTTGAAGACACTGAACTAAACCCATAGTATAAATTTTACATTAAAGAGAAAGACAAGACTCTAAGATCTATGAGGCCATGCCCTTTTTAACATGCCAGTGTATTTCCTTGCTCCTAGTAAAGTGCTTACCACATAGTAGGTACTCAATAAATATTTGTTGCATCAGAAAATTTAAAAATACACACTCTGGGCCAGGCGCAGTGGCTCATACCTGTAATCCCAGCACTTTGGGAGGCTGAGGCGGGAGGATCACTTGAGGCCAAGAGTTCGAGACCAGCCTGGGCAACTTAGTGAGACTGTCTCAACAAAAAATAAAAAAATAAAATACAGACTCTGGATTCTGAAGATTGGGGTTCAAAACTTAGACTTCCCACTAATTACCTGAGAAACCCTGGCCAAGTCAATTACTCTTATCCTCAGTTCTCTCATGTGGATATGGAAATGCTATTACAGTCTTAACAGGGTTGTTGGGACGATTACTTGAGAAAAGTAAGATATAGCAAAGCCTTGCCTTACCGATAAAAGTCACTCTCTGGGTCACTGTGCCGGATCTGGAACAGTGCATTAGGATTCTTACAGTCTAAAGGTAGGAGGTCATCAGGGAGAGGAGGTGACCCAGGGCAGGAAGGAAGAGGTTCACTCTCTTCAGTCTTTACACCTTCTGTCTGCTGCTGATTCTGGGCCTGAGCTGTGGCAATAAGGTTGCGAAGACGTCGGTTGTGCTGGATCAACTGAATGGTATGGATGGTGAGGCTGCATGGCTCTGAGGGGATGTCCAACATGGTAGGAGGCTTGGGCTTGTTGGCTGAGGGTTGGTGCAGGGGTGGGTCATGGACTTCTACCAGACGGAACTCCCGTGGAAGCAAATCAAAGGAACTTCTATTGGTCTGGTTTGATGATATTGGTATCTCTCCCCAGTATCTCAACATTTTGGAATAAGAAGAGGTCTCAGGTTAAATGTAGATGATATCCTAAAAGTAATGTGTTTAAATATCTGGCAACTGTAGGTTATAGGCTTCTGCAGTGAAAAATATGAAGTCTAGCCAGTTGTTTAAATAAAAAGCAGGCTATTCAAGACCACTTAGGAAAATGTCAGTGTCAGCAAAACTGTAGGTCCAAAGATGTTCTCCCTAAAGAAATTAAGAGAAATATAACTGTTAGATGATTGTCATTGTCACACAATGACGATTCTTATTGGACTGAACCACAAGGTAGAATTTGGGTAGACTAATAGCTCCAGTAGTATCTGGGGCTCTAGTATCCATATTTTCCATCTCATCTCACTAACTCATTACCAAACTACCATTATGCCCAATCCTGAACAATTTGCAAGGCATGATGTAAATATGAGGTGTGAGTATTTCTCAGGGTATCTTGACATATCTGTGCTGGATGAATACTAGAAAGGGAGTAGAGTTAAAGATACTAGGAGGTAGTTCGTGTTCTCTATCTCAGGCATAGTCCTGGTAGAAAAATTTGTGAACCACTAATCTAAATGGTCTTATGCTTTAAACTTCTGACACATGTACAGAAGAATCAGAGATTTCAGAGATTTCTGCCGCTTTCTAATTGGTATTCCTTCCTCCAGTCTCTCTTTGTATCCAATCTATTCTCCATACTGCTGCTAGACTTACTCTTTTTAAAAAAAATTTTTTTTTTTTTTTTTTTGTG